ATGGTAGGGTTCCGCCCCAGCCGCCTCCTACCTTGGCCTTGATCAGCTGCTCCACGTTGGAGCCGACATCGTCCAGCTCCAGCTTGAGCTCGCTCTTCTCCTTCTCCAGCTTCTGCTTGATGCGCTGCAGGTTGTCGATCTGCTCGCTGAGCTCGGCCACGCTGTCGGCGTGCTTCTTGCGCAGTGCGGCGGAGCAGTGTGGCTTCCTCTAGGTCCCGCCGCATCTTCTGGAACTCGGCCTCACGCTTCTTGTTGAGCTCCGCCTGCACCGAGGTGGCACCGCCCGCCTCCTCCAGCCGTTCGCTGAGCTCCTCCAGCTCCCGCGACAGGTCCGAGCGCAGCTTCTCCACCTTGGCCCTGCCTGTCCGCTCCGCCTCCAGCTCCTCCTCCAGCTCCTCAATCCGCGCCTGTGGGCCGGGCACGGAGAGGCTGTCGCTGGACTTGGCCCACCCAGCTCGTCCACTCAGCCCGACCCGGCCGGCTGGAGGCTCTTCCACTCAACTCAACCCAACCCAACCAGCTGGGGGCTCTTCTACTCAACTCAACTCAACCAGCTGGAGGCTCTTCAACTCAACTCAGCTCAAGCCAACCAAACCAGCTGGAGGCTCTTCAATTCATCTCAGCTCAAGCCAACCTGCTGGCTCTTCAACCCGGCCAGCTGGAGGCTCTTCAGCTCATCCCAATCAAATGGAGACTCTTCAACCCAACCCAACCCAATGCAACCGCCTGGAGGCTCTTCAGCCCAGCCCAAGCAGGCAGAGACGCGGTCCCTCACCTGCAGCTCTTTCAGCTTCTTCTGGAGCTGCAGGGCCAGCGCCTGCTCGTCCTCGATCCTGCTGTTCTGCTGGTGGATCTCAAACTCCTTCCTGTGCAGGAAGGGGGAGGGCGCTGAGGTCCCTGCCCACACTCCCTGGCCGGGGCGGGCCGGGCCGGGAGGTCAGGCCTCACTTCTTGAGCTTCTCCTCCAGCTGCTGCTTGTCGTTCTCCAGGTCCATGATGTTCTCCTGGGTCAGCTTCAAGTCACCTTCCAGCTTGCGCTTGGCCCGTTCCAGGTCAATCCGGATCTTCTTCTCCTGCTCCAGGGAGCCTTCGAGCTGCGTGGACCAAGAGAAATGGGGAGAAAGCTCAGGTTTTCACCATCTCTGCCCCAGGAAGCTCCTAGCTCCTCGTCAGTGCCCGTGGTGGGACCGGCCCACACTCACATCATCCACTTGCTGTTCCAGCTTGACCTTGGCCTTCGTCAGGGTGTTGACCTTGTCTTCCTCCGCCTGCAGGTCATCCAGCGCTTGCTGGTGAGCTTCTTGCAGGGCCTTCTTCTCCTTTGTCAGCTTGGCGATGGTCTCATCCAGCCCGGCCATCTCCTCTGTGAGGTTCTTGACCTGTGGGAGGAGAAAGATCGGGCTCAGTGCCAGAGGTGGGGCAGAGTTGGCAGAGGTTGCTGCTGGCCTTGGCCAACGAGGCCACTTCAGTGCAGGAGAACCCACAGGGCCTTGGGCCTTCTTGATGTAGACCAACCCAACGGGCCTTGGGTCTTCTCAACCCAACCAACAGCCTTGGGTCTTTTCAACCCAACCAGCTGGCCTTGGGTCTTCTCAACCCAACTGGCCTTGGGTCTTCTCAACCCAACCAATGGGCCTTGGGTCTTCTCAACCCAACAGGCCTTGGGTCTTCTCAAGCCAACCAACAGACCTTGGGTCTTCTCAACCCAATGCAGCAGACTCAAGTCTCCCCAGCTTGAGGCCGAGGCCCCTTCCCAGCCTCACCTTGTTCTCGGTGGCGTGTTTCTCCTTCTCCACCTTGGCCAGAGTCAGCTCCAGGTCATCAATGTCTTTCTTCAGCTCCGAGCACTCGTCCTCCAGCTTCCTCTTCTTGGCCGTCAGCTCGGCATTTCTCTCTTTCTT